TACATTTATATAAAAAAGATTATATATTATATTTTAAGCACTTGTATGAATATATGGAAAGAATTAACATCAAATTTTTCAATTTTTCAAAATAATTAACAATAGATTAATATGAGATTTTCATTTTTCCCAAATAATCCCAGTTTATATATTATTAAGATAATATCCTTATATACTACGAGCTTTTGGTTTTTCCATTCCTTTGCCGCTACACGAATATTCTATATAATCTTCGGTTTGGGCCAACAGTAGCGATTTAGCGATTTAGGTGGTGCTTGCAAATGTTCTCCAATGTTCTTCACCGCCATACTTTTCCACAATATATTCCTTCGTCTGAAAAAAAATAAAATATATTATTGCACGGTTTTAATTGAGATCTCTAAATACTTTACGATTTTTATATCTTTAAACAATTTGATGCAAGGTTATAAATTCAGCGGCTAAAACATTCTACATGTCGGGGGGGCAGATCAATGTCCCAATTGTATTCCGCGGACCCAACGGGGCTGCTATGAGCAGCTTAACATTCTCAATATTTTGCGGCTTTGTATTCCCTTTTTTTTTCATCAGCAGTTCCTAGAGGAATTGCAGTGTTCTTTAAGTCAACTTCTTATTTGATTTCCACAATTGAAACTATGAGGTTATATTGCTTGTCCCAACTTGGTTTCAATAGAAACGGAAACATGCTATAAGTGCGTAACTTTAGAAGAGGTGGTTGCTCCTTTAAAAACAACTCAGTGATCGCGAGCTCAAATCTCAAGTGCAGCAGAGTTTTCAATACAGCCGATAACCTTAGTACTTTAAGGTTTTGGTCTTAGAATTTTTTTCTCTTACTCCATTTTTATGTAATCGAAACGAAGTCCCTAATAAGAGAAATTCAGAGGAATATATATGTATGCATATACATATGTATGCCACTTTTTTTTTTCTTATAGCAATTTTATTAATAATTCTAGCGTATTATCGCGAGAATTTGAAAATTGACAATACTAAATTAATGCGAGTCAGGTCGTTGTGTTCATTATATTTATTTTAGAATTAATGCATCTTTAGGCAGGAAATATATCTTCTTTTGAGCCATGTACAAAACAGTTTTAAAGATTCTCTCTTGTTTACCCTATGGTTAATAACCATAAAGCTTCAAAGTGAAAAAAAGAATATATAATTACTTGTAACTTTCTGTGGACATGGCCGATTGTTTCCATTTTTGCACATGGATATTTTGACGTTATTATTATACAAGCTCGAAAACCGAAATTTTTCACTGATGAATCGCGACCTATACGTTTATGTGATGAAAGGAATGATAGTCATGTCTGGGACAGAGTTACAAGGCTTGAAAAGGGTCAAATTTATTATGAAGTGGGTTTAAGAGCAGACATTAACTCGCTGAACTACTTTAATCTCTTATTCTATTTTTTCTTAGGGCACCGTTAAACAGCGTCAAGATTTAACTGGTTGGAGAGGTCATTGTGTTTTGTATTAATAAGCAATCTTTCTTGGTACTAACTAGTTTTCCGAGCATTTCATTTAAATAGCATGAAATCAATACCTTGAACAATCAGGAATTTAAAATGAGCGCAAACTGGTTACAGATGCTAACGCAACTAATTGAAGAAAATCAAGGTAATGAATCAGAGCCTGCGAAATTATGTTTGCAAAAATGGATGCAAGAACGTGATAAATTAAGGTAATCTCGCATGATGCCCATTACCAGTTAGGTTTTATTTAGCTTTTATTATATTTCGTATTTAAAATTGCATACGAATCCGGCTCATCATTTCATACATTACATTTTTTATAAAAAGGATGGGCCCATTTGATTTTTTTTTTTCTTATTAGCAATGTGTCTTTTATGACACATATGATGTCATTCCACCTTTATTTAAGAACTAACATTATCATTAGAATATTTCGAAATCCTAGGAATTTGGATAATCTGTAAAAAGTCATATTTTGAAAGATTTGCTGATTTGACGAGATAATCTCGGCTGCACTGTAAAACCAATTTGTCGGTAGCATCATGGGAAATATATGGCGCGATCTTCTCGTTATTGCAACAATTTGATGTTTTTTATTTCATTATTCAGTCAAATAAGAAATTTTTAATGATTCTGAGAGCTTTTTTAACAAGGAAGTTTAGGAACAAGGAAGTTTGGGCCTTTTGAAGCAATGTAAATCTAGAGGGAAGCTTCTTCCTCTTGCCAATTGGAATTCTTCATTAATGTGTGCGTATTTCATGCATACGAATCGCGTCACAGTTGTGTTTAACTATTGCAAAGTCTTATCCATTTTCACTCGACCTATCATATTTTAAAATAGTGTTGAGTCAGCTCTTTCGAAGCAAATCGTTTGAATATTTTTTAGTATATGCCGCTGCATTAATGATGTATTTGCGTTAAAAATAATTTTTCTATTTTCATCAAACATTGTTCATAGGATAACGATTTAATTTTAAAATCAGCTCTCTTTTAAAGGAAAGTTGCGCAACTTTCTTTATTAAGAAATCGCTCGTTCACAATGAATTTCTCGAATCTAATTAAAATTTCGTAGGATAGAACGTTATAAAGAAGTGTCATATTAATTATTAAAAAATAAAAGAAAAAAACTTATGGCCCACCCCTTTTTATAGATACGCTATTTGTATATATGTCTCGCCTGCATATGCATTATATACAAAAGTCGCTTCGAAAATCAAAAAATAGTCAAAACTTTATCCTTTAGCAGAAATGTATATTATTAACAATATGTTTACCATCAACCGTCATCAATCACACTTAAAACATAAACATATCACGACGCTATCACTAACCATATTTCTATTACCGCCTCTCTATATTTGTATGTTCAAAGACATCGAAATAACAGGATGTGCCAACCGCTTGTTCAAAATAAGAGCTATTAAAAAACTCGGAGAATTTTTGGTCTTTCATTTACCAACAGCAGTAGGCTTTAATTTAATTGATTACTCTTTCAATCTCATTATTTGCATGAGCAAAAGTTTTGTTAAAAATTTCTTGATATGACGTCAAAGTGCATTAAACGTTTTCAAAGCAAAAGCAGGAGCATGCAGTCCTCTTTTTAAGTGAATATTTGCTGCGATGTGCGTAGAAGTGTGTGTGTGTGGATAGAATAAAATTTGTTTTACTTTCCTCGTTTAATTCATATTGAAAGCATTCTAAATTTTATGTTCGCCAAATGCTTTAATAAATTTCAGCAAAAAAATTCTACTAAGCAATTTTTTATAACATGAAAAAAATTATAGCGAATCTTTACTTACTTGCTTACAACTTACACATTCACTAGTTATCAATTCTCACTTTTTTGAGATTAAACTAACAGAAAAGAAGAGTGGCGGCAAGCCAACGCCCTCCAATGTACACAAATCATTCTCTAAATAATCTACATGAAGTTAATCAACTTGTGCGACGTACGCGCTATATATACGTACATGCAAATATATGTAATAAAATGTATCAACGAATTTCATCCCAGTAGTCTCGTATGTTGTCCTTTTTTAACCTAAATACCGCGTAATTCAATTTCTAAAGGATCATGTTAACATAATATGGAGATGGAAAAGAAAAACAACGAATACCTGGCATGAATAGAATACAGCATGAATGATTGTCGCATGTCACTAAAAATTAATAACATTTGCTAAAGTACATATCGATTGAATTAATCGTGTTAGTGAAAAGTAGAAAACGATTGTGAGAAAGTATTGCGTTCACAATTCACTCTTCCCCTCCACCACTCATGCTAATCACAACACCGTATTTTCTACATGTTTGCTGATATGCTACGGGCATCGGCATTTTAATGGAATCCAAATGTTGGCTGCACTTTTGGTTTAGAAAGAATAGTGGCACAGTTTCTCAATTGCAGCTTTCATACCCCTCTGGATCTATATCCTATGTCCTTTTGTGTTTTAAGTTTTGCAATAATAAATGTATAACATTACAGAATAATGGGCACGACACGTACACGAAAAGCCTTTAATAAGAAACTTTTTCATATTAAAACTTCGAAAAGAACTGCATTTTTTATTTCAGCAACATCGGCTAAGAGAGTATTTGATGAATAATTTGGCAATTTTTTTATCATATATGTCATATATAATGGACTCAGTTTTGAAAGGTAGCTATTTCTCATTACATGGAGTAGTAATTATGGATCTGATAAATTATTTCATTTCATTTCATTTTCTCCCGTTGCAGCATCATTCAGAACTTTCATTGCATCCACATGCCACGCTTGCCATTTTTTCGTTATCATGCAACATAATAAAGTGTTCACATATATAGCGTGCGTTTAAAGTGCTTTGGGAAACTAAATTAATTTTTAATTTCAGGAATGACACTACTAATATGACGTCCTTTAAAGGGAAATTAATCTGCTGTCATAACTAAGAGCAGCTGAACTATCTCTATTAAAACGGAATGCATTGGCATTATAAAACCGTTCATAAAGCAAGTTAAACATTTGCGCAAACATTTTGATGATGCCGACGTAGCAATGCCTAAAATTGGTGCTGTGGAGGAATTCCAAGGAGAGGTATAACTTTCGTAAAATTTCACTAATGTTTGAATTAATACTAATGTTGCTTTTGCTTGGTTTTTTTTAGGAAGGCGATGTAATAATAATTTCAACAGTGAGATTAGATAAGGAGCATGTACTTAACGATGTGCGCCTTTCATTAGGTTTCATTCAAAACGGGAAATTGTCTAACCTCGCACTATCTCGATCTCGTTTCCTTCTTATTATATACGGCAACCCCTACCTACTCCTTTTGGATCCTCATTAGCGCACGATCATAAAATACTGCGTCGATGCTGATGCCTACCTCGGTTGAGATTTGCCGGCAAATTACTTTTAATTATTTTAATTATTAAATGAAAT